GGGGGGGGGGGAGGGGGGGGGGGGGAAAAGAATATAGGGGAAGGAACAGGAGTGTGGGGAGTGGGGGAAGGGGCTAATGAGTGGGGGAGGAGGTGCAGTGAGAAGGGATGGAGGTGTAGATGAAAGGGATGAAACAGAGGTTGCAGAGATAATGAAGTTGGAAGGAGGAGGAGGTGTGAGGGAAGAATGATGAGGGACTTGGGACAGAGGGTACAATGATATGGGGGAAGAGGGTAGTAGTGAGAGCAGAGCGCCAAGGCACAGGGGTGGTCATGAGTGGAGGGATAGAAAGGGACAGAGGGGTAGTGAATGTCGGTGGGATGGGGGTGAGATACAATGAGCGGGGAGTGGGGGTACACTTCAGTCAGGTCCCACTAACACCAAAAGAAAGCTCCTCCCGCTGCTGAGACCGATGGTGCTCTGTGAGGGGAGGGGAGGGGAGGGTGTATGGAAGGTGAGCACTTACCTTCCACAGTTGCAGTGACAGACCCGGTCTTCACCCCGTAAATGCGGGAGGATATAATTGTGGAATCGGTCCAACAGCGCGTTCATATCCACGATGCAAGCTATCGCCTGTAAAGAGCCGACAAGTAAAGGTAGAGCAGGTGAGGGAGGGCGGTGTGAATGAGTGTGAACCCGGACAAGCCGCCGGCTCCGAAAGCCTGGCCGCCGCCGCCAGCCTCATGCAAATTACCGCAACACACAGCATGCAGCAGGCGGGCCCCGGTGCTGCTTACCATCACCATGGACGTCCCCACCAACATGAAGATCATGGTGTTGGCGGTGAGGAGCATAAATCGCAGCCTCTGCTTCCTCCTGGCTGGGGGCAGCGTGTCCTCGGGCACCGCTTCACTCGGTGGCCGCTCTCCCCCTGCTCTCAGTGGTGGGGAGGGGGGAAGGGGGAAGGGAGAAGTAGGGCCAGTCCTCCCGGACCCTTGAACCGTTCACCCTCCCCTCCCCCGTCCTCCCTCACTCAGTCAGTCAGTCCTATCCCTACACAAACAGCAGCCCGACCCCCCCCCCCCCCCCCCCCCCCCCCCC